TTTTAAGGCAGAGTCTCACTCTGTTGCCAGGGGTAGAGTGTCATGGTATTACAGCTCATAGCAACCTCGAACTCCTAGGCTCAAGCAATCCTCCTGTCTTAGCCTCCTGAGTAGTTGGGACTATAGGCACCCACCACAATGTCTAGCTAAGTTTCTATTTTTAGTAGAGACCAAGTCTTACTCTTGCTCAGGATAGCCTCAACTCATGAGCTCAGGCAGTCCACCCACCTTGGCCTCCTAGAGTGCTAGGATTACAGGTGTGAGCCACTGCACCCAGCCTATGCCTGGAAGTTCAGTGCAGCACTGTGGCACCATCTTGGTGAGGCCCATTATGTGGGCTGCACACTGAGGTGCCAAGGAGGGGCATGTGATCCGTTTCTTTTGGCAGTCCTTACACAGTCTCCTCCCTCACGAATGGCTCTCTATCATTAAATTAATTTTCTGAAGACAGTTATAAACTATGATGAGCATGTAGCAATGTTTTTGGAACAAGTGTGCAGTCTCCCAGAGGTGACTGCTAAGTCACATATATACTTTCTATTTAAAATAATCCTTCCAATTAATCCCTTTGAAGTCCCAGCATCTCTACACAAGGCCCTGCTGTCACAGCGGCGGTCACTGTGTCTTTGACTCCGACTCTGCATCCCTTCAGCGTTAGCGGCCCCTACCTATTTCTTTCTCTTCTTGGTCAGGCTGCTCTGCGTTGTACAGACTTCGTTGTCTTTCAGGGTCTGTGGCTGAGCCGGTTTGCTGGGCCTGCCCTGGGTTATTTTTCCTAAGATGTCTCTGGAGGAGAGGTTTTCCAAAACACGCAACTCCTCCTTGGATGTGGTTTTTGCCAAATCTTGTTTCAAAAGTAACCCCGGATCTGACAACTCTAAAGCTGGCAAAGTGCTGACAGCTTTGCATTTTTCCACTATTACTTCTCTTGGGACTAATTGATCACTTCCAAGAGAAACTCTCTTGCGGTGGTCGAAGTCTCCCACAGAGCCGCAGTCCCTGCGTTTCTGTTGTGTTCTGGCCGCCCGCGGACTTTGTTTTGGACCTGGTGATGCTGACTCACGGCTCCAGACAAGGCTCCTGCTTACAAGCCCTGTCTTCAGCCACTCCCCAGGATGAAGTCTGTGCTGGCTGCTAGTATCTTCTGGCTGGGGCTGATTAACATTTTCCAGCTTTTGAACAGGAAGCCCCCAGTGACTCTCAGCTGCCTTTATGTAATCCTCCGCCTGTCCTGTGAATTCTGACAGGCGACTGGTGGAAGCCTGACCGTCACTCCTCCTCCTTGCTATCTCTGTAATCACGGAGTCACTAGATGTTCCCACAGTGTCTCTGCTGGTCTGTGATTTGCTCACAATACTGCTTTTCGTTTTACTTCTTTTCACACTGAAACAAACAAAAGAAGATTCTATGCTATATGAAGCAGTCATGGCATTGCTTCCTCCAATTCCCTCCACCTGAAAAGGGAGGTGTGTGCTACCTGCCTTCTCCTTACCTCCCTGCAAACAAAGAAAAATCCCCAAGTATACGCTTAAGAGTGAAGACTGAATCAAGCAATAACCTTCACATTTTCCATTAATACTAGGAAATATTTTGTTTATCAGTCATGGGTTATCAATGGAGTAAAGATGGAGTTCACATTTAACCAGGAAATTGGTATTCATTTCAGAAGTCGTGGGTCAACTGTCAATGTTTGACACACTGTTTTTTCCCCCAAGAGTGGATGCTGAAATACATCTAAAACTCAGGCTATGTGTTTGTATGTGTGTTTGCACATGCACGCACACAAACACTCACACTTTCTATCTGTAATTAAAGAATCATCTTGTCAAATTTCTCTCAGGCCATTTCAAGGTATTACTCAAATATAACTACCATTTAGCTGGTGTCAGCCATAGGGGAGCAGGCCTTAGTCAATATACATGAAATATCCTGGAAGACACTTCAGAAGACCAGCCTGAAAGGAAAGCAAGCACGCAGAGCGTGGCAGAGGGAGTGTGCCACTATATGCGTGTATCCATCACCCCCTTTCTGCTGTGTGCACAGCACACCACACAAACTTCACTGTAACTGTGAAATTAACTGTGAAGCAGCACACTAAGAAACTGCACGGGGGAGTTTAAGAGACCTACAACTTTAACTTCAGCATGTATTTGCAGGTTTGTGAATGGCAAGAAATGTCTTCAACCATTAAAACCCTGAACCTGAATATTTATTTTGGTTAGGCTTTAGTGTGGAAACAAATATATATATGTTCATGTTCTTACGGTTGCTATCAGTAGTGTGAGGATTATCACAATTATATTAAAGTCAGAACAAGCATCTTAGGAAAGGAATGTATTTTTTTAGTTCTGTCTGTAGTCACTCGGAAAGTTGTAGGAAACATACCACCAACAGGTGCTTTTCATCTTCAAAGAACTTGTCATTAATTACTCCTTGCAACACACCTGTGAAGCAAGGACTCTATCCTTGTCCAGAAAGTGAGAGAAAGAGACAGGAGGGTGGGAGGAGCAAGTATGTGACTTAGGGTAGGGATCAGTGCCGTGGGGGATTTTGTGATTAACTTCCATGCACTCTTCTTTAATTCTAGACTTCACATTATCTATCCATGCACTGCGGCAGTCAAAATTGAGAATAAGGAAACACACTGGACCTACATTTCTCTCACGACATTTCTCTGGAGCTTTGCACGGGGAGGAAGTGGACTCTCTGCACACTCAGCAAAGTAATCAGACACTCCGTGGAGAGCTCTTTCTGTCTACTCCAAAAGATAACAAAGGTTCAACCAGAAATCTATTAGCTGAACATGAGAAAAAACAGTTACACTTTGAAGGCCCTGATGAACAGATTTATTTTTATAAAGACTGAATGAAACTGCTCAGTGGTAAGCTACTTTAACTTTTTTAACCTAGGACTTTATGGTAGATTGCAACTTCCCTTGGACCCTCAGTCATACACTTCACACATTAATGTGCATCACAAACAAACATGGAAATAAGGTTGGTTCCAAAGCATCGGGGAACTCCTGGCCATCATCTGATATCTTTGTAGCCCAAACTGTGACAAAAGCCCAAAATCACTGTGGCAGGCAGTGGCACATCAGTGAGCTTTGCTCTTCTAGCAAAACCCGGTGGCACAGTAGTCTACACCCTGATTATCCCAACATTTCCCTACATTTTCTCTATTTATAAAAATATAAAACATTTGCAATACTCAAGTTAAATCTTAGAAAACTGGAGTTTGAGATCTTCTGTTTTTGGTTTTTTTTTACCTTACATATCTATCTACTACTATGGATTTATATAATTCATAGATTAACTGCCTATCTATCCTTTTATGTTTTCATGGAAGCACTGTGTGGAATTAATTATAAATGTAAAAGCCTACCCATCCTGCCAACAAGGACACATTTCTTACTTTAGAAGTTGACTTCTCCTGCACACTAAATATTCTTCCCCATCAAATGATAGTAAGATGTTGTTACCAAAAAGAATAGTTCTGGTATTATCAACAGGTTCTTGCTTTAGACTTACATTGGAACTAACAGTGACGGTTCAGAGGTCCTGGCAGGCAGCAGCCTTTAGTGTTAGGCCTGGGCATCGCACAGGCTGACGTGAGCTTTGCCTGCTCACTGCCCTGCACCACTGAGCACGAGCCTTAGCTCCAGCCGTGCCTCTGGTTTCAGAGCCAGGACAGTGTTACTCAAAGTCAGATCCACTTACGACTCACATCAGTTTTAAGTTAGTAAACAGAATATTACAGGTTTTATTGGATTTATACTGCACTTTGATGCTTCTGTCTTTTGTTTTGTTTTTTAAAACTTACTAGTTAACTAAAAAAAGCTACAATTTAACCTAAATGAGAGAGAGATTGAGAGAGAGATAGAGAGATTGGGAGCAATCGAGATTTATGTGTAGAACACTTCTAAACATGCCCTATAAGTACAGTAGATTTTCCCCTTAAAACCACACCCTGTAAGTGCTGTATTTTCAGAGCTGAACAATTAACATAAGGAGCATGAGTCAGGCTTTGAACAGCTCTGTGGGAACCAGAAAGCCTTTTGCTGTTAGGAATGATGTAAATTCCCCAAGGCTGGAAGAAGTCCACAATGGAAGGCAGACAGGATCATAAATAACACAGATGAACGCTGTGTCGTACACCACATAAAGCATGACGCCGCGACAGTGACACTCTTCCAGTCTCATGTTGGATTCAACACCACCATTATTTATTTATTTTTAAAATTCGGCTTAAAGAACACTATGTATTTTCTATGGGAACTTCAAAAACTTCTTTAAGGAGCAGAGGAGTCGGCTCTCATCCTAAATTCCTCTTACAACAATGCAGGACAATGTCCTCAGAAGAAAGGGACAACAGAAAAGGTGACAGGCAGATTGACAGAAGGAAATGTCCTGTTCAAAAGTGTCAAATCTGTGACTTAGTTTTCAAAAAAATAAAGAAAGAAAAGAAAAAAGAAGGAGAAAGGCAAGGCGGGGTTCGCCTGCTTACAAATTAAAACCACATTTGGCAATTTGTTGAAGGAGGCATATTTACATTTGTATGAAGACTGGGTGGGCAGGAAAAAAAAGATTAGACTCCTTCAGCCCCTGAGCTGTCAGGTCTCATTAGAAATCTCTTCTCCTTACATCTCTGGGGTCAATTCACTCCCCTCTGTGGCTAAATCACAGCCTCTGGTGTCTCCCTTGGACAAGTATTCCCAAGGAAGCAGCTATGACCTGGGAACAGGACTTCTCAAAAGGGAGTCCTTCTGATTACTGACGGCTTCTCACATCCAGCATCAAAATGCAGTAGAAGGTCCATCCCTGGCCAAAACCCCAAAGTGCAGGTATACAGTATGTGCTGAGAGGGCTGCAGGAGCCTCCAGGTTTTGCATGGATGACACCACTACTTTTAGATTCTGCCATGAGTAATAATAATCCCACAGTTTTCTGCAGAGTAACCCATCATATTCCAAGAGGCTACCAAAGAGTTGGTCATCCAAAGTCCAGGGCAAGCCCCCATGGGAACTAAGCTATTTAAGAACTAGGTTAATCAGAAACATCTCTTGGGGCCTTCATAAATGGTTCTTTACAACCTGGAAGCTAGTGCTTTAGTCTGGGCCCAAGGAATAAACTTCTGTGAATACCATTCCTTGTTATACTTGATTCTCAGCCACTGCCCCCCACCCTACCTACTATATTGTCTTAATTTGGGGTTATACTTGGAGCATTTTAAATTAAAAACTTTTAACCTTACGTAGTGTCATTACACAGGGTATTCCAAAAATCACCCCTGAAGTTGCCATACATAAGGAAAATGGGAAATTGTAGCTAAATGTACCTTTATTTACAAAACCTTAGGGAGGCTGTAATATTTACAAAGTCTGTAAAACAAAGCTGGGCTCCCCCAGACTAGGGGAAAGACTGGCTGCACTGGACATAGGAGGGGGGGAGCTTTTCAAAAACATAGATTTGCAGGGCCCGTTCCTGGAAGTTCTGATTCACAAGATATGGGGTGGGATGAGGAGATCTATATTTAGGTTCCCAGGTGATTCAAAAGCTGCTGATATATATAACACTCAGCAAGGCAGAGCAACAGCCAAACAAACACAAACAGGTAAAATGAGACAGCATTTTGCAAAGTGTGTCAGGTAACCCCAAGGCATCAAAATCACCTGGGGAAGCTTGTTTAAAAATGCTCTGGATTCTACCCCAGAGTCTATAGCATCTGGATCTCTGGGGGGTGGGGTCAGGGCATGCATATTTTGGGCAAGCTCCCTGGTGATTCTGAGACCCAGCAGGGTTAAACTGCCACTCTAAAGGCTCATGGAGTTGAGTGGGCAGAACCCGGCAGGACCTTGCTTTCAGGGAAGCCTGTTCTCGGGGTGGGAGACAGGAGACAGCAGACATACAGCATGTTAGGTGACGGGGATGCTATGACGAGAAATCAACAGGGGGTGCTAGTTTAGATCCAGAGGTCAGGGACAGGTGGTAGGTAAGAGACCAGAGTGAAGGAAGCCAGATGAGCATGTGGGGAAGAGCATCTGGGCAGGCAGAAGAATGAACACCAAGGCCCTGGGTACAGACCCAGGAAGTGGCATGTGCCCTGGGGATGGCAGGGACAGATCTTGTAGGGCTTTTGTAAAGATGGCATGTTTTATGTGTATTGTGAGGAACAGGATAATGCCATGGAAGGTTCTCAGAGGAAAAGTGAGTACACACTGTAAAAGGATCACCCTGGGTGTTACAGAAGAACAGGGTGGAAGGAGGGAGATGAGGCCTCTGCCGTGGTCCACTCAGAGATGATGGAGCAGTGGGGTTGGGCAACAGGTAGACGACATTGGAAATACAAGCTGATGTGAGTCCAACAGAACTGCGCTAATGATCAGATATTGGGTAGGAGAAAAGTCAATGATGACTCCAGATCTATCTCTCAGATAACTAGAGGGAATCTGCCCTTTACCATGGTAGGAAATACCCAGAATTTAGGGGCAGGCTTGGAGCAGTAGAACCAAGCAATCAATTTACTGTGTTGCTGTGGTTAAGAACATGTTCCCTCCAAAATTCAGGCATTGCCAGTGTGACGGTATTAGGGCCTTTCAGAGGTGATCAGGCCATGAGGGCCTCACCATCATAAATGGGATCATGTTTCCTTATGAAAGGGCTTGGGGTCCTGGCCCTATTTGCAATTACGTCTGCCACTATGAAGATACTGTTCCCCCCCTCTGAAAGCAACAGTCAGCACCTTGGAAGCAGTGACTGAGCCCTCAGCAGAACACCAACTTACTAGTGCCCTGATCTTAAGACTTCTCAGCCTCGAGAAATAAATTTCTATTCTTTACAAATGCCCAGTCTCAGGTATTCTGTTGTAGCAGTACAAACTGACTAAGGAGCGTAAACTTTAAGAATCCCACCTCAACAGAGACGTGGCGTGGGCAGGTAAGATAACAGTCTTCAGGAAGAGGGAGGTCGGAGTGGCAGGCACAAAGCTGGGTGTCTTCTGAGATGACATGGAAAGCCACAAGCCAGGATGAACTCTACCAAGGACTGAGTTTAGATGAGGACAAGAAGCTGAGAAGATGAGGACGGTCCAGCAGAGACTACAAGGTACCATCAGTCAGCAGAGAGAAAAATCAGGATAACCCTCTGTTCCCAGAGGGAAGAATGAAATGGGAGTGGCAACCGTGTGGAATGCTGATGACTGGTTACAAGTGCAACGGGCCATTAGAGAAAAGGTGACCTTGACACAAGAAGTGATGGGACCTGGACCTAAACCTAACTGAAATGGGAGGTTGGGGAGAAGTGGACACTTGCTGGAGACCAGAACTCTCCAGTAGAAATAAAATGTAAGCCAAGTAAATAACTTGAGACTTTTCATAGACAAATTAAAAAAGTAAAAGGAAACCAGTAAAATCAAATTTCCATAATGTACATTATACAACACAACAGGTAATCAATAAAAAAACACATATGAAATCTGAGAAGCTGCTGTGTGTTTCACACTTAGAGAACATCATTTCTGACTTGTTGCATTTTAAATGCTCAACAGCCAAATGTGGCCAGTGACTGCACCAATGGTGAGCACAGGTCTAGACAATGACACTTCAGAAGAATTTTCCAGTATGGCAGAGCAGAGAAACAGGAGTACTCACCAATGTCACTGTCAATACAATTTGGTAAGGCAGATCTACCTATCTAAATATTTCTCTATCTATCTATCTATAAACTTTTTTAATATAGGGTGTGGAATTTTAATGTT